GAACAATCTTTGTTTTCTGCTCATTTGAAAGTTGTTTTCAGACTACCATGCTGCGACTCTTCAAAGATGATGCAAACAGGAGTAAAACTTACTATTGCCCCCCTTAAATACCCTTTCTCATAAGTGGAGTCACCTGAGGTCAAGGGTCACTGAACTTACCAAACTAAATTTGAGTTCCAATAATTAGTTCTAAAGGTTTTAAAATCAATAAAATGAAAACAGTGGCCAAATTAATGCACCTGCCTAATTTTGTTTAAACAATTATTGCACACTTTCTGTAAATCATATAAACTTCATTTCACTTCTCAAATATCACTGTGTTTGTCCCCTATATGATATAATTAACTGATTTTTAAAATCCAAACAATCAATGATTTATAAAGGTAAATCAGGAAAATTAACAAGGCTGCCCAAACTTTCGCATTTATTGTATCGGGGCTGATCACTAAGGCTGATCAGCTCAGCTCTTTTAGAAGATGTGTTTCACAAAAGCACAGCATCTGAGAGAGACCCAACACAACTGTAAAAGTTTTTTTTACAATGAGACATTATACTGTAGTTGACTGGTGTTGCTACAAGTCTGGATAAAGCAAAACATAAGAAACAATCTTACATTGTCTTAAAGAATTAAGTAGCAGAAAAATGGTCAACTTTCTTTTTTAATAACCAAAACAGCTGCTAAATTAATTTTCGTTAGTTTCCTGGCAAATAAAAGATCCAATTCATAACTCTCCTGCAGAACAGTTTGTTTTATTGAACAACCTGCTGGAGACACAGGAGAAAAAGWTTTACTTGTGTCTGCATTTAAGTTAGCAAAATCTCATAAACCATTTGTAAGGTTTTAATGAAACTTTAATACAGTAATCCTTGGATGTACATCTAAAACTGAATAACTTCTAGAGTCAACTTCAATCAAGATAGTTGCCACAGCTGCTCAACCTTAGTAAATATAAAAATGTCTTTAACTCAGTCAGTTTTACAGATTCTGAGCTAAAATTTGGTGCTCTGACCACAAACATACAGTATTGTGCAAGGTCTTACTTTGACTTTGTTGTCAATTACAGGAAAAAAATGACATCTGACTCATTAAGTCTTGTTTCCAATTCCTGGCAAAGTTAACTTACTGTGACGTTCTTTGCAAGGAAGAAGTAGGCGTACTTGATAATAAAAACTAAAATATTATTTTACTGTGTAAATTGTGTGTGGCATTTACCAAAGTCGCTGGTACACACTGCCATTAGGATTTCTTCATCTGCACAGGGTTTACAGGAAACTAAAAAGACAAATCATGGAAAGAAAAACTAAATTAAACGGTGTTTCATTGAACTTAAAAGCACATTTTCTTCATTTTATGATTTTCTCAAACTTTGTGTTCTTTTCTTTTTTCTTTTCACATGGAAGGTGTTCACGAGTCCTCAAAAGAACTAAAAAGAGTTTGTGACTGAAAAAAAAAAAACAGGTGATGTTATCAGAGAAAAAACAGACTCAATCAGAGAACTGCCCTTTGACCCTGTCGGCTATAAAAACAACCATAAAACACCAGACACACACTCTGACAGGAAACTTCAGCAGGGAAGCTTTTTTTTCTCTGTCGTTATAAAGACGGCCGTGTCTTCCCCCACCTCAGCGCTTCACTCATGGCGGGTGGGCTCCCYAGAACTGCTGGTTTAATGAGCAGGAAGGAGGGGGAGGGGGGTTGAGGTTCGGACTGGCAGCTGAGGGAGGATTGGTTGACCTTTCTGTGTGACCCTGACAAGACTTTCTGATCGGCCTGCTTGTTTTCTTCCATGTGCCTGACACAGAGCCTGGGGGAGTGTGTGTGTGTGTGTGTGTGTGTGTGTGTTTGTGTGTGTGTGTGTTGGGGGGGTCAAGAAGGTGAGATGAAGAAATAAAAATCTATTTTTAAACCACCTCTTTGTCTTTCCCCACATGTCCTGTCAGAGGTCTCTGTAGCCAGCAACAACACAGACTGGAGATAATTTGTCAAAAAGTGTACAGATAAAGAACTTGATCTTAAAAAGGTCAACGTATCCCAAACACTGTTTCTATAAAAATGTATCAAATTCTAATAGAATAAACAGTAAATTATAAACAGGATGTTGTAGTCAAGGCTGGGCAACTTGTGCTGATACTGACCCAAAAGTGTAGTTTGAGGGTATAAAAAATACAGAAAAGACAAAATGTGAATAAATGAAAGATAAAGCAATGTTTGAAGACAGAAAGCATTATGGATATGAAAACTGAGACTTGAACTGATATATCTTTTCTAATCATTTCTGTACCAGTGAGTCACACTTAAACTTAATCATTCACAAAATCCCCCTCCTTATCAAGCAGTACATATTTCGCAATATAAGATGTTGAAACAAAATATTAACTATTTTCTTAAATTTTACACTGCAAAAATTGTCCATCTTACAAACGACACGATGCAAGTCTTATACCCTTATATCAAGGCAAAAGTATTTTTGAGCTTGTTTTGAGAATGATATACAAAGTAAGAGCACAATGTTTGATTATTAATCTTGTTAGCCTGGAAATGTTTCCGTTTTCATTAAGTCTTACCCAATGCAGGTTATTTCACTTAACTTGAAAAGATTCAGACAATAATTTTGTATTTTTAACTTGTTTTTGTAACGTATAACAATTTGTTAAAGGGGCAATATTATGTGTTTCTCAGGCATATATTTAAATTCTATAGCATAATAAAGTATCTATGTCACATTTAGTTGTTATTAAACACTGTTTTTATGTTTAAAAAGAAAATAAACTCCTCATCGTTTCCATGTCTAAACACCCTGAAATTGGCCTCTGTGTCTTTAAGAACCTCCTACTGTTTCTGTCCCGCCCACTTCAACACGGGAGGGGGGGGTGCTGTGATATGGAAACTCAATGCAGTTTACTTGGCATCTGAAAGTACATTTCCTCAAAGGCATTTTGAATTTGAAAAGGGCTGCGCTGAGAAGTAGTACTGGGAGCTCAGCAGATAGTTTCAGTTTCACCAGTTGTTTGCTTTGTTGCTGCCAACATCCTGCAGGAGTCACGGGTGGGGGTTGGGGAGGTGTGCTCAGTGATGAGGAGGCTCGGCTTGGAGACACAGSCCAGAGGAGGAGCTGGTCCCAAAAGGCGGTTCTAGGCCCAACCAGTCGTTTTTGCTCCCCTGCCTGGCTGCCTCAGGACAATACAGGATTTCCCAAACATGCATGAATGAGTCAACGTAAGACTCTGGGCATGTTTTTGATGAGAAGATAACATGATATAAAGTTCAAAAAAGTTGATTTTACATGATATTGCCCCTTTAAATAAATCACAATCAAAAATGTACAGAAAACTCTTCCAGTGCATGCTGGCATTTTTAGTTGTACAAATAATAAAACTTATTGCCAGTTGGAAAACAACTTATACTATATCTTGATGAACAACAGATAAATCTAATTACATCAATGGTTACCATTAATGTGTCAACATTGAATTGTTTTTAATTTCTTATTTTTCAAACCTTCACTGTGTTGACTATTGAAGATTTATAAAAGCACATTTAAATACCATTTTTTTTCATAAGATTTTTGTTGTGAAAGAATAAAAGATTAGATTGTATATGAAAATCCATAGAGAAATGTCGATGTAATCTCTCTGACAAACAAAACAGAACACATCAGTTTAACATTATGTGGAAGAATTAATGTCCTGTACCTGAAGCAGGATTCAGGTACGGGTACATGTGGGCCCCTGGTCCCTGGACGGGCACCAGCTCATACTGGAAAGCGGTGATCCTCCTGCTGATGTCTGTCTGTGGGATGGCCTCCACAAACAGAGCCCCCCCTGCCAGACTGAAACAGCGCACCGTACCAAGAACTTGGTCCTCCTCCGCAAGCAGCATCTGCAGGTCTCCTTTATGCTCCAGATACACATGAGAACCCTGAACAATGAGACAAGGAGTTGTTCAGAAAATACCCTGACAAACCCCATTTACAGGTCAACTACCAGCTCAAAATACTGTAGATTTTCCAATATCGACTGTGAAAACTTTACATGTGCACACCCAAATACTGGGATTGTAATTTCAATTCAGTTCAATTCAATTCAATAATTTATTCATTTCATTTAAAAAATAACTATATACAACAACAAAAAATAAACCAAAGAAAATAAAATGAAAGGTAGCAGAAGAAGAATAAATCTTATTATGTCTGCCCCTTTTATCCTTAGAATATATTCAAACAAAACATCATTTAAAAAACAATACCACAAAAAAAAACACAAATAAAAAATAAAAACAACATAAAAACATCAACTCAAACATCATTTCAAATATCTTCACATTTTACTTTTCATATAACTTCAGAAAACTTGCTTTTATCTGTCTTTTAAATATATACATAGCATACTGTATGTAGCATACATAGCATTTTTTAAGATCATCTTCCAGACCATTCCACAATCCTGTACCCTGGATTAAAGTACATCTTTCTTTCAAGCGAGTAAGAAAATACAGTAGGGTTGGGCATAATCGTATCGTGTGCAATTAATCGTCAGAAAAACATTAATCGATTAATTTTTGGCACTTGACAATTAATACGATTCATGCCACCAGGGAGACTAACCGCTTGGTGTTCCTTTCTGATTCAAATATGACCAACATTTTAAAAAAAGTTGTGTAATTTATTTATCTATCAACACAATTTAAAGTTTGATGTACAGCCTGAAGTCTGTAATTTTGACACAATTTGGAACAGATTTTTAAGAAGAGCCAATTTTCTCCCTACAAATTGGTCACGTGACTAGGATATACTGTAAGGGTGTCCAGGGACTCCAGGGGATTAATCGTCAAATTAATCGTTATCGGCTAAATACTGCAATTAATCGTGATTAATTTTTTTGCCAATATTGCCCAACCCTAAAATACAGCTTCACAAACATTCCCATCCCGTTAAGATAATAACAACTGTCTCTCTTAACAAAGTTTACCTGAAAGTTGGAAGGTAATATGTTTCTGTGAGCCTTGTACATAAACAGTAAAATATTATAGTCAACCAAATCATAGAATTTCAAAATTTTCAGTTTGCAAAATAATGTATTTGATGGATGGTTGTAATCTTTTCTAGTGATAATTCTTAGGGCTCTTTTCTGCAAAACAAAACTTGGATTTGTAATTGTTCTGCAAGCTTTACCCCAGATTTCAATAAAGTAAATTAAATGTGGAACAATTATTGAATTGTACAACACAAGCAGAGCCTTGTCATTGAATAACTCCCTGACTTTATACACTACTCCTATAGATTTAGATATTTTTGTTCTGAAATAATGTATGTGAGGTCTCCATGTCAGCTTGTCATCAATGACGGCACCCAGAAATTTCACCTCACAGACTTCACAGATCTCAATACAATCTACTCTAAATGAGAAATCAACAATTGTCTAACTATTACTAAATATCATCTAATTTGTTTTATCCAAATTTAATGACTATTTGTTTTGTTGAAACCAATTTTGTATTTTCTCAAATTCTTTCTGTGCCATCTCAAACATTTTCATATCTTTACCTAAACAAAAAAAAGTTGTATCGTCAGCAAATAAAACACATTTGAAAAGTACTGACACATTTACTAAGTCATTCACATATAAAATAAATAACTTGGGTCCCAGTACAGAGCCCTGAGGGACTCCACATGTGATATCACCAAGTTTAGATCTTACACTATTTATCTGTACAAACTGTTTCCTATCTTTCAAATAACTAGATACCCATTGTAGTGCAGATCCTCTAATAGTACCATATTTACTTAATTTTTCAAGAAGAATACTGTGATCAATTGTGTCGAAAGCTTTCTTTAAATCTACATAAATACTCAAACAATACTGTTTTTGATCGAAAGCAGTCGTTATTTGTTCCATGAATTCCATAATAGCCACTGTTGTGGAATTTTTACCTCTAAACCCATACTGACTACTCTATTGTTCTTTTAGGTAAATTGCTCCAATCTGGTGACAAATCATTTCTCTAAAATTTTAGAAAACGGTGGTAACAAGGATATTGGTCTGTAATTTTTGAACGTTTCTCACCATTTTTAAAAAGAGGAATTACCTTGGCTGTTTTCATATTGTCAGGAAACATACCAGTTGAAAATGATAAATTTCAGATATATGTAAATGGTTCAATCACATAATTCATTATATCTTTTACAAGCACCATGTCCATGTCCAACCAGTCTTTTGATTTTGTGCTGGGTCACTAGCTTGTGTTCTGTTTTTTTGTATTTCGATAACACCCACATGCGTACAGACACTTCCATCTAAATGTCCTGATGCATCTCAGTAATCCAGGTAAAAAATCAAAAAGAAAAAAATTGTATAGGTCCTCTGGACGGGTTCTTCTCTAATGAAA